TGATAAAAACAAACTGTCATTAAATGTCAGCAAAACAAAGTTTATGTTATTTGGAAATAAAAGAAGTAGTAAAGAGATCTATTTGACTGTTAATGAAATAGCCATTGAAAGAGTGTATGAAATTAGGTTTTTGGGGATATTGATTGATCATAAGCTCTGTTGGAAGCCATACATAGAATATGTGTGTTCTAAATTAGCCAGAAGCATTGGGATGATAAATAAAACAAGGTATTCTCTACCACAGGAAGCACTACACACACTTTATTGTACTATGATTCTACCATACTTATCATATTGTGTCGAAGTATGGGGCAATACTTATAAATCTAATTTATTAAAGATTTGTGTTCTCCAAAAAAGAGTGGTAAGGATAATTACTAATTCTGGATATTGAGATCATACAACTCCATTATTCTATAATTCCAGATTACTCAAATTTTTTGACTTAATTCAATTCAAAACTGACCTAGTACCGTATAGGGCCATGATGGGTAAACTACCGGGTAATTTGCAAAGGATGTTTAAAACTCATGAAGAAGGTTATGAATTGAGATGCATTAAAAACTTCATTTTTCCATTATACCGAACAACTATGAAAAGTATGTGTGTATCGGTGTGTGGTATCAAACTGTGGAACAAACTTGATGTGACTTTAAAATTCTGTAAAAACATTAGATCATTTAAAATGTTGTATAAACAACTTATAATTAACTCATACATAAATAGCAAGTGATAAAATGGTAATTGGTTGTAAATGGAATATTTTGTTTTTGTTGTTTGTTGGTTTTGTTTTTCTGTAGATTCATGTGAACAATTGTTTGTAACTGTATTTTTATGTAGCAAGGTGAAGATAGAACGACCTGCATAATGAAAAAGTTTTTTTCTGTCAAATTTGCTAATGTGAGCAAATGTGATTCATTAACTGAATTGGGGCTGGACTAGATAAGCTTTTGCTTCTTCCAGTTCCCTCTCAAACGGTTTTATGTTATTGTATGTTTTGTATTGTTTTCTTCAACAGCATATGTTAATCGTATTCCACATTTCTAAATTTTCTATGCACCACGAATATGGAGGAGTGCATATGCAATTTGATGTTTTCAATGGTTTGAGATAAATAAATAAAATAAAAATAAAATAAAAAAAAAACATTTTAGATATCAGCCCGATAGCTACAACTAGTTGACTTACATTTAAACTTGAAACTTGCCCCCGAAGAAGCTGCTGGCTTCTGATCCGCAATCCTTTTGAAAATACTGAGCTGTATTCAGGGAAATTTTTGACCAAGGCTAGGCTACAAGGCACCTCCCTTGTATCCTTGCTCAGGTAGCTAAACGGCTAACAAACAGAGAACAGATGCTTTGGTCGAACATAAATATTGGAACACGCCTTGGGGGTTCTAGGCAACCAGGGCGGGACCAAGACATCAAGGCAAGGTTCTTTGGCATTGAGAAACACCCTTTGTTTCAGATCCTCAGAGAGCTCTCTTGCCATGAGGTGCTATGTTAAACTTCCAGAGACCAGCATGAGGGACTGTGATATAGGGATGTCTCGATACAACTTTATTCACTTCCGATACGATACCGATACACCTGCCTTCAGTATTGACCGATACCTATATCAATCCGATATGATATCAGCACAAATTCAATTCAATTCAAGTTTATTTATAAATCGCCAAATCACGACAAGAGTCGTCTCAAGGCACTTCACATAATAAACATTCCAATTCAGGTCAGTTCATTAAGCCAATCAGAAATAATGTTTCCTATATAAGGAACCCAGCAGGTTGCATCAAGTCACTGACAAATCATACATACTTTTACCTATTTCATAGTGTGGATGTATGTAAGGCTTGATCAAGTGATTTTACTCACTTGAGTCACAGGACACCGGAGATGGACAGTGGCTAATTGGGCACAATGTGGACATTCTTCACAGAGGTGTACTTAATTTTGTTGCCAGTGGTTTAAACATTTATGACTGTTATGAGTTATATTGAGGGGACAGCAGATTTACACTGTTATACCAGCTGTAGACTGACTACATTGTGTCAACGTGTCATATCTTCAGTGTTACTCCATGAAAATATATAGTACATGAAAATATATAGTAAGATATTTACAAAAACACACTTTGTGACATACCGTGTGTGTGTGTGTGTGTGTGTGTGTGTGTGTGTGTGTGTGTGTGTGTGTGTGTGTGTTTCTGCTTTAGCACACCCGATTCATATATTTGCATTCAAAAGTGCTTCAGAAGATGCCTATTCATCACTCATTCATATAGATCAGGTGTGAGGCTGCTGGTGTTTGAAAAGGCAACACGAAAAATATGCAAAGCAGGGGGTCCGAGGACTGGAATTTAGAAACACTACTGTGAAGACTCTGACACTAGTCAGTGACTCGATGCAACCTGCTGGGTTCCTCGTATAAGAAACTTTTTATTGATCGGCTTAATGACCTGACCTGTATTGGAATGTTTACTGTGTGAAGGTCCTTGAGATGACTCTGGTTCTGATTTGGAGCTTTATAAATAAATGTAATTTAATTCAATTGATTGTCTCCTTGAGGAATAACATCCTTTTGTTACCAAGAACCCAGTTAAAATGCTTTTTCAATTAAAAAGATGTTAACTGCTGTTTCATACATTAATGACAGAATTTATTAGAGCCATAAAAATCCACTTTTCATAAACAAAATACCAAAATTAATTCTGAATATTGTGTCTTTGTGTGGTATTATAAGTTCACAAAGAAACCGGTTTTTTTACAGTAACTGAGTTTCACATGCTGACTCAATGTGAAAATAGTCTTCTACCCCAATTTCCTGCATTAGCTGCTGACGTCACACTGTCACTTAACATTCATGGACTCTCCCATCTTGGCTCACGACGGGGAAGGCTTTTGTTAATTTTACATCCGGGAGAACGTCTCGGCTAGGGATGCACCGAAATGAAAATTCTTGGCCCAAATCAAAAATCAGGAAACCAAGGCCGAAAATTGAAACACCGAAAGAGATAACTATGTCAATAATTACAACCATAATATTAGAGGGACTGTAAAATTAACCTGTTAAGTGGCAATACCGCACTTAACGAGCCATAGCTGCAATTATACTTCCTGATAAAGTTACTACTTTACACCAGAAGATAGTGAAGCTGTGTAACTACGTTTAGCTGCTAATGCAGGTGACAGAGGGTGAAGACAATTTTCATATTCAACGTGCATGTGCAACTCAAAATGACTAATCATATTTCCAAAAGAACAAGCATTACACATTTCTCAATGAACCTCCCCTCTAAAAGCCTCAAGTACTCAGACGTGGGGAGGGGAGGGGATAGAAGACGCATCAACAATCATTTTACAATCACGTCTGAATCACTGCATCATGATGAGCCTCACCCCTAGTTTGGATCATGTTCTTTGATTTCGCTTAATGCAAAGTTCAAGATGTTACAGGTGGGAAAGAAGCCCCTACAACGTGAGACCACGGGGTTATAGGTAGATGATCAGTAGCCACACACACAGAACCAGGAGTCGGAGACACAGAGACTGAGTCCTGCAGAAACACAACTCTGCAGCTGAGAACCACTTTATGATAAAAAAGCAGACTTTTAAACTTTTTGTGCAAAACTTTGCCTCATTTTCTGTAAGTTTGCAACAGAGAAAAGAGGTTTTCTTTCACCCAACTACTGTTAATCTGCAGGATTAGAATCTAAAAACGGATGACGACTGTTGTTTCTGAGCTTGGTCCTAAAACTGATTGTAGAAAGCTGTTGGGTTCTCTCTACAAAGTCTCTAGACAATCTGCTGATTAATGAGCGAGTGGGCTCAGTAGGGAGGTTCCTCCAGCTCTGCTGTCTGCCCACTGCTCTAACCTTACACTGTACAATGACTCTCTGTGATATGAAACAAGACTCCTCTGAGCGGCTGCAGCAGGCACAAAACTGCCCTTCTTCCAATAATCAAAGCATTTTTTGTTAATAGTACATATGAAGTGAGCAAAACTGGGATGTAAAAAGGCCTGTACATTATGGGAAAACTTCCTATCGTTATAAATGTGTTGTACTTCAGGCATAGAGGGGAGCTGAGGAGGGTGTGTTATTAATCTCGATAATAATCCATGCTGGTCACTGATTAGCATCAATAAACGTTTCTTAAGAAGGCTGATTAAAATGTGTTTTTAGAAGAAGCTTTGAGTAATAATAATAATCAAGAAGTGACTCTGGCCTATAAAGCTCCTTTCTTCAAACTGCAGTAATCCAAGCTGAGCTGCTAAACTCCTGCAGCAAGCTGTAATCTCTAGTTAAAAATGTATTACTGGACTTCTTATTACACGGACCCAAAGAGTCACAATCTGCTACACCAGTAACTGCATCACACGGCAGAGTGCTTTAGTTAGACACTAAATGACTAAAAATGTCTGCAGACTAGAGCCTCATCACAGATTTGCTACAAGCAAACACAAACACAAGCCCACGCTTCAGAATAACAACAAAAGACACGGGATCGCTGTGTGGTTGTCTATCTCCACGATGACACAGCCTGGCAATGGGACTGGTGAAGTAGATGTTTCCTCTCCCAGCCGAAACTTCAGAAGTTCCTTTGTTTATATTTTAGAACCAGGCCTGCTACGGTTAGCTGTAGCTGGCATGCAGGCGGGCGCTAGCTAGTACACCCGACGGCTCGTAGAGAGGGTGTGTGTGAGGGAAGGTCTCCCTGGCTAACGCAATGATGTGTTTTACTATCAAGTCGAGCCGCTGTGCCCCAAAAGAGCAGCTGAATTTAAGATGAATGTTAGGCGGCTGTAGACAGCGCTAGCAGCGCACACCTCATCTTCAGTGTTTTGTAGCTAGGTCAACCAGTCCTGTCCAGGTTAGTGTGGAGACACCAGACCTGGTGTCTGATCAGCCCCCTCGCTGCATAAGCCGCCTAAGCCTGGATGATGGAGTCTAAACACTCCCTAAAACCCACCACACACATCCGCTCCATCAGCACATCTTACCTGCTCATCAAATCTGGTAATCACGGCCTGGACCCATTCCACTGGTTTGTGAGCCGCCATGGCCGGCCGGAGAGACACTCGGGAGCTCCACTGGCAAGTCCAAAATATGAAGCTGAAGCTGACGCGTTTATTTACACATCTGAATTTTCTCTGGATGGAGAAGAAATGACAAACAGGGCAAATATTTCACCCTTTCTGCAGAAGTCACCATGCCATCGCCATGACAAACCACCGGAAGTCTTCATCGGTTAAATTGATGGGAGTTGTTGGATCAAGTTAGCCGCAAGGAAACAAAACTTCTTCCAGACGACGTCTTCAAATTTCTTGCTGTAATCAAACAAAAATTATTATTTTGAGCATAGCAAAAATTAAGAGAATTTTAAAAGAAATTTGCGGTTGCGTGGTTTTTACTCATTTTGCAGCATTTATTTCGTTCTTGCATTTATAAAAATGTCTCATTTTCGTTAAAACTAATAAGTAAGAAAAGGAAATCATCCACTGTGCAATACTAAACTATGATCTCGCTCAAACCGTGGTTTAATCACCTCCAACAACCAAATTAGACCGTCTCCTGCGTGAAACTTGGTTTTATTTTGAAGAATGATTTCCGTAACTTCCGGTTTCAGTGTCGGAAAATGGCAAACCTGCGGCTCGTCTCTGCTCGCATGGGTGGGCTGTGGTCAGGCCTTTCAGAGCGGAGAGAGACGAAGTCAATCAGTTTGTCCGTTTCGGCTTTGGTTAGGAATAAATGCAGATCATCTCTGAGTTAGCTCATGCTCAGATGGGATGTGACTCTTCCTGTTGATATGAGATCAATTAGACAATTAGAATATCGTGAAAATTTTCAATATTTTTGTTACTTGTGTCAGAAAGAGAAACTCATATTCATTACATATAGAGTGAAGTCTTTTGCCTTTATTTCATATCATTTAGATGACTATGGCTTTCAGCTAATGAAGGCCCATAATCCAGTCTCAGGGAATTAGAACGTTGTTGAAAGACAGCAGCAACAGGGAGAACCACAGCTTCGAGAGGCTTGTCCAGCTGAATCCATGCAAGAATTTGGAGGAGCTTCACAAGGAAGTAAACTGGAGTCGATGCATCATCATTATTCCTTTATTTTAGCAGGGGGAAACTGGTTGAGATATCATGGGCTGCATGGTGGCGCAGTGGTTAGCACTGCTTTCTCGCAGCACGAAGGTTGCAGGTTCGAAACTCGGCTGCGGCCTTTCTGCATGGAGTTGCGTGTTCTCCCTATGCATGCGTGGGTTTCCTCCGGGTACTCCGGTTTCCCCTACAGATCACAACATGCCCTATAGACTATAAATTGTAAGTTGCTTTGGATAAAAGCATCTGCCAAATAAATAAACATCAAATATAATATCAAATCTCCCTGGTCCAGGGAGGCAGCTCAGGAACAGAGAATTACACATAGGCACACGTTACATCAAAAGCACAATGACAACATAAGGAGACAGCAGGATTAGAAGGCACAATTTGAAGGGCAGCACTAGATCACAGACCATGATCATTAGACCATTTTACAAACACACACAGAGTCGGACCAAGGAGAGACTTATAGAAAAAAGACATCCAACAAGTGAATCTGTGAGCATAGAGGGCAAAGAAGCAGCGGCATACAGAGAGTGATGTACACAGTAACCAGCCTTATCCATAATGTTTCCACCTCCATGTTTGACAGTAGGGCTGAGTTTATGCCAAAGAGCTTGGTTGTGGTATCACCTGACCACAACACCAGTCCTCCTTTGAATCATTTAGATCGGGGTATCCAATATTTAGCCTGGCCTGCCAGACTCGTCCTCTGTTTAATTCTGCACAGAGAATGAGTCTGGTCACTCTCCTATTCAAATAACCCCACCCCGTGAGATTTCTAACCGAGTCAATCAGTGCTGAGGTATCGTATGCCACACACCACAACGCAGTTTGTCGAACATGGCGACTGAAGCGGAGTTAGCTGCAGCTCTTTCCTCTGGTCTAAATAACTTGGACACAACAAGTAGAAGCACTAAAAGCCTTTCTTCTAAAGATGTTTGCGCTGTCGCCAGACTCCATTTTTGACTACAGCTAAAGAACTACAGTGCTGCGGACGTCACACAGCGATGCTCACTTTCTCATAAACAGCATAGACAGCGGTGGAGTTCGCTGCGGCTCTTTTCTCTGTTCTAAATGACCAAATGTCTTTAAAACAACAAGTAGAAGCTCTAAAAGCATTTCTTCTAAAAAAATAAAAGATGTTTGCGCCATTGCCAGACGCTATTTTTTTACTACAGCTAGAAAACTACAGCGTCGTGCGATACAGTCTGTATTGGGATTGGTTACTTTGAGCTGCCCAGTCCCACCCCTCAAGTGCCTCTGCCTGTGAGTTACCAGACTCATTCTCTGTGCAGAATTAAACAGAGGACGAGTCTGGCAGGCCAGGCTACCCAATCTTGGCCCTGGAGGGCCGGTGTCGGTACAAGATCTGCTCGGGTGCAAAATT